CAACACCACCAACAATACAACACTAACAATGGCAGTGAATGAGAATGGCAACGTGGCGGCAAAGCTTTTCTGTAGAACTTTAACAATAATAAGGCGATGAAAATATTTTTTGCATTTTTTTTCCTCCTTTAAAAGTAACGGTGCAACGGTAACTTACAATATGAATTTTTGTCAGCTGTGGAAAAAACCAAAAACAAAAACAATAAAGGGTTAATGATGTTTTCTGCGCGTTCCTCCTGTGAGGTGAATTGAATTTTTGTTTCTTTTGCGCGATGCTTTTGAGGTTAATAGCGTCATCGTAAGCCAAAGCCATTACATGTGGCAGACAATCAATAAGTTGACAAATGGATGGGAGGAGTCGGGCGTAGACAGTTGGCGTTGAAGGATGTCAAAATAAATGATTGTGTCGAGCAAGAAAAATAGATTGGTTGTTGACGTTAAGGTGTGTGTACACTTGCGCAGAAAGCTTTGCTTACCTTAAAATATCGTTGAAAATATAATATGACATAATGGACATAAGATTTGGCATGCCATGAATGAAGATAAAAGTTAAACAATAAATGAAAATAAATCAATTTAATTAAAGCAAAATAAAAGAAGAAAATAAAATAAGATTTAAAAAAATGATATACGAGTAAATATACATACATATATAATATATATAAATTAAAAACATTAAATAAACGAGTGCATTTAAATAAAAAATGAATTTTGAATTAAAACAAAATAAAATAAAAAAAAATAAAATAAAAAATAAAAAAAATGATTAAAAAATATATAAATGAACAACAACAAATTCTATAAAAAAAATTATATTAAACTTAAATGAAAAGAAACTAAATCTTACAGATATATAATATAAAAAGCAAAATTTAATGAAATGCATTTAAAAAAAAATTATAAGAAGAAAAAAATATAATACAGATTTAAAAAAAATTAAATGAGCAAAAATAATGCAAAATAAAATATGCAACAAAATACAACAAACAAAATCAGACACCTTAAAATAAAATACAAATTTGATATAAAATATACTAGGTTTAATAATATAACTAGGTCAAATTAGGAAAACAAAATAAAAAAAATAAATGATAAAAATAAAATACAATATTAAAAACAATAAAATGAAAAATGCAATAAAAAATTAAACAAAATAAAAGGAAATTTGAGTAAAATAAAAAATGAAGTGAAAAGCATTGAGATACAAATAAAAAAATACAACAGACAATTACCAAAATAAAATAAAATAATAAAAAAAATTAAATAAAATAATAAAAAAATTAAATATGTTAAAAAAAATTAAAACGAAATGAAATGAATAAAATAAAATATAAATAAAATTAAATTAAAATCAATAAATTAAAAATAAATTATAATGAGATGAAAATAAAATAATGAAAATGAAAACAAACGAAAAAAAAAACTATAAATAAACAAAAAAATAAATTTAAGTAAAAAACAATAACGCAAAAAAAAAATTATTAAAAAAAAATTACACTAAATTATATAAAACAAAGTAAAATTAATAAAACGCAAAATAAAATAAAAAACAAAACAAACTAATAAAACATTAAATTAAAGTATATAAAATAAAATGAAATAAAATGAAAATCAAAGCAAAATAAAATTATACAACATAAATTCAAATAAAATATGAAATAATTAAATTAAAATCAACAAAATAAAAAAATAATAATATAGAGATGAAAATAAAAAAATGAAAATCAAGGAAAAGGAAATAAACTCTAAATAAAACAAAAAAATTAATTTAAGTAAAAGACAATAAAAAAAACAAAATAATAAAAAATATAAATTAAATGAAAAAAATAAGTTAAATTAAATTAAATTATATAAAACAAAAAAAAATTAATAAAAAAAGAAATGAAATAAAAAACAATATAAAAAAAATTAAACATTAAATTAAAGTATATAAATGAAATGAAACAAAATAAAAATCAAAGCGAAATACTATTAATCAACATAAATTAAAATATGAAATAAATAAATAAAAATTAAATAAAATATGAAAACAAATAAAAACAAGTACAGCGTAAAATAAAATAAATAAATGAAATTAAATTAAACATAAATAAAATAAAGGGAAGTGAAGTCTAAATAAATTAAATAAAAGGAAATACCTCATAAAATATATATAAATTACAATAAAATAAAATTTTGTTTTATATAAATAATAATAAAAGAAAAGAAAATAAAATAATAAATATATAATATAATTGGCGCTTTGTTAACGCTAAAGCAATTTTCGGATCGCGCATGATTAAACTCAAAACAACCTGCAGCGATCTTGGAATGATCTATGTATATTTTTATCCAATTATATCTATGGATATGGAATCAACTTTCCGGAAAAAGAGTATGGTATACGTTAATCTAAACGAAAACATATTGACGTATCAAATTTCAAGTAAACTTACTTCCGGAAATGGGTTGGCTAGACAAAAAGAAATCTTCGTAAAAAAAACCAAAAAAATCCAAACATAAATTTATTTATCGCAATAAGATCGGTCTCTGGTTCACTTCGTAGAATTTTATGTAAACCATACCATAAGCTAGATTCCTATGAATAGACCGGCTCCAGGTACATTTCCCGGAAGAAAAATTGGTCCCCATCTTCAATTAGGCAAACACCTGCCTGTGTATCGAATTTCAAGAAAATTCAAGTAAATTGAATAATAAAAAGGCTGTGGAATAAATTTATTTTTTTTTTACATATGAGAACTCTTTTAAAAGTATCCAGACACCACAGCTGGTGCTGAGCAAGCTATTCCGATAATTTGAACAAAATTGGCTTAAGACTTTGTTTACGCGAGGAGCGTAAATCATACGGCAGAATTCTACATTGTTTGCAATGGAATTGACCTTCTAATGGTCCAGATCGTTAGGATCTAAAGGCGGCTTAGATGCTTTAGCACATGCATACATCTTTTTTTTTGTCCATATAGATTAATAAAAAAAAAAAATTTCTCCACAAATATCTTAAAAGAAACAAGGACTAAGTGTAATCAAATCTAAATGATCAAAATTAAATCGTTCTACTTGAATATCTATGGAAAATCACTACAAAAACACTACAGCAAACTTACTCCCATATAATTTTAATGATTATTTTAAGTGCTTTCTGTATCGATAATATTGACTTTGCTACAAATATTTTGTTAGTTACTTTCGTTTTGTTTTATTTTCTTCTTTTTTTTTTGTTTTACTTTTCCACGCGAAACAACTCAATGAATAGCAAGTTTATTGTGGAATATTGTATGAAGAAAGGTATCTAAGCACGCAGATACAATTGGAAAAGTTCTTAGTTCACTGCAAATAAACACACATGTAAACTTACACACATTCATACTTACATACCTACATAAAGATAAGGTGAGATGTGCAGAGTTTCGTTTGTAATCAATAAATTTAGTGTATTTTCACACAGATTGCATTCAATATCGGTTGCATAGCATGCTTTTAGGGGCGCAAACACTTAAATCTGCGTTTAGTATTATATGTATATAACATATACAGCTTAAATATGAAGTAACGGTTTTTATAATACTCAGTAAATGTTTTTGAGTGCTATAACCAACACTTCAATGATTACTTTTTTTTTGAAATCGGGGAAATTCATTCTTACACATGTAAAATGCTGGTTGAGTTGGGAAAGATGCTGTAATTGTAGTATTTAAAATGATGAGATTTACATATCTCTCTTATCGGGAGTGCAGATTGCTATATTGCGGTGAGCTTCGACCAGTATGAGTTTAAAAAATATTATTTAGAAGGGTTCTTTCTTTCGTAAGTTCTTCCGCCCTGCAATTGCCTAGGATGACCCTATTTCCGGGCATTCAGATCATGGATACGTTGCATTTAATCGAGAGTTTGTTCAAAATGCTTCTACGCTGCTACACTGTAGAAATTTGATGGCAGTTTGGCTACCAAAATATATCGTGGCTGTTTGTTCCACTACCGCAGATTTGAGTAACCAGTGACTGCCACCACTCCAGAGCACGATAATCGGCTTTAGAAACCATATTTTTCAAGTGACCGTTTTCCAAGCGTTCAGTACAGTTATAGCCTTCCTCGACCTTCCTGCACTGTTACAGCTACGAGACACTTTAACTTTAACTTCTTTTACGTTCCTGCATGCAGAGACTGTTCTTCCACAGTCGCAATTTATTACAGTTTACCAAGATGAAATCAGTATGCTTTCTTTGCAACGGGGAGGAGTTTTTACTTTTCCTCAGCTTCCATCGGCTTCTTTTGCTCAAAGAAGAAGTGTTTTCACTAATATCTCTTACAGCTCATCGTCTGCGCTGCTCGCAGTTTCCGATGCGCAAATTCGGTTTCATTCCGGTAATTTTGATGTAAAGGATGCTTCACGGAGTGTCGCTCAAGTCATGGACATTGTCGAGTCCGACCGTCATGTAAGCACTGTTTCGGTTGCCCAAGAGCTAAAGATTGCAGAAACAACCGTTTGAAGCCATTTGAATAAGATCAGATATGAAAAGAAAAAATGAAACCATGAAATTTTATTCAAATATAATTGATTTCTTTTTACTACACCTAATATTATATGTATGTATGTGTGTATGTATTTTAGTTATTGATAAATTTAATAATAAAATGAGTTAAAAGCGAAATTGATTTCAGAAAAATGTTTCCTCAAGAAAGTATATATATTTTATGTATATATATTCGTATATAAGTATGTATTCGTATGAGATTTTATTACATTAATTTAATATATATTTGTGTGTACATATGTATAATTATGTAATTTATACGTTTGTTTGTTGATTGAACTCAAATTTGTAACTCTTTCCCTCTCTTTCTCTCTCTCTCCCCCTTTTTCGCTTCCAACACCACCCACTCGCTCATCCATCAACTGTACTTCAATGTCGAAATGCGACCCTGTCAAATATGAACTCATCATGCCGTTATTTGTCAACATAAAAACAACAACAACCAAAAACCCAACAACAATAAAATAGTGCATTGGCAATAATAATGGTAAGCACAACTACAACAACAACAATTGCTGCTGGACAACCAACGAGTAGCTCAAATCATCATCCGCATCATCAACAACAACAACAACAACAACAGCAACATCAGCAATCAGCTGCGGCGACACTCGTCCCAACGACCGCAAACACAACTGCAACCGCAAACAATTCCAATTACCAGAGATCAGCAGCTCAGCAACAACAACAACAACAGCAATCATATTACCATCCATCATCGTCAACAGCGACAAAAACAACAACGCCAACCACACCAACATCACATAACAGCTATTACAACTCATTAACGTTAAATGGTGTTGGCAACAACAACAAAATCAGGCTTACAGCAAAATCCGCCGCCGCTACTACAATAAGTACGGGGCAAGAGGTCGGACAAGTTGTTTTTGTAGACCACAATAATTCCACACGCTACACGTCGCGACCTTCCTCGCTGTATAACGGTGCTGGCGACACACAGCACAGCAGTTTCAACAACAACAACAACAACAGCAACAGTGCTACGCCCACAACAACAACAACAACAGCAAGTAAAAAGTTGAAGACGCGCGCAATAGAAAAGGAGAAAGAGAAAGAGGAGGAGGAAACCACAAACATAGAGCAAACTCTACAACAGTCAGAAAGTCATGATACAACAACAACAACAACAACAGCAACATCTCTCACAACATCGCCAATAACAACAACCGCAGCAAAAGCAGTAAACCTATCGCAAGCGCTGCTCTCGAGCTCACCGCCTTTGCTGAACGATCAAATATCTTTGCTCTTTCCCAAGTGTCGACCACGACAATTGTCGCCCAATAGTAATCAGACGGCAACTGACTGCCACGCTAGCGACAACATACCCAGTAAAAGTCAATTCGGTTGCGAACGTGAGACTTTGAACGAATCCGAAACGCATAGTGCGAAGCATAAAAGACGCGCGAGTTCCACATACGAAACACGCGACACAGTTTACAGCGGCGAGTCGGCCGAGGAGAGTGCTAGAGCACCCACACAAGCGACAGCACAGATCGCGCCTACCAACTATTACCGCAGTGTCAATATTATCACACAGTCACCGCCACCGCCCTCAACGTCTTCGGTCTCATCCGAATCGCTGTCGTCGGTGACGCCACGTATCTCCACCAATCCATTTCTCAGTCATACCGACAGCGTGGAGGACGTCAAATCACACGGTCGCGTAGCACAGCGTACGCTACATAGAGGTAGTGAGGACGAGAAGAGCACCTTGAGCGGTGGACACGGTCGTACACGCAACGAAAAACGTAGCGAAGCGCACCAGCACTACAACGACCCCATCCTTGCGGAAGATATCATTGAAGACGAACACGTCCGCGCCGACGCCGAGATTATTGAAGGCGAAGAGCTGCCTGTGCCTTCGTATCCACCTACATTCTATTATCATACCGAAACGAAACATACGTCGGCCCAACATACACATCAGCGTCAACATCATCAACAAACCGGTGATAGCAGCAGCAATAGCTACGAAATGCCGCGCAAACGCGCCAGTTATGGTGCTGCACACCACCATAGCCAACAGCCATATGAGCAATTCGGCAACGTAGCGGCGCAACAGCAGCAGACGGCGCAATTGCATCAACACAAGCAAGCCATGCACAGCTGTTCCAATGCCATCACTGGCAACCATAACCAAAACCAGAATCCATTCATAAAAGAGGGCAACTACTGGGACTCAGTGCGTCAGACCGCCACAGGGGACATATTAGCAGACGAACAAGGTGCGGTTGACGGGGAAACCCATAGCCGTCTACCCTCTAACTACAAAAACATGACCGAAGCTGAGACAGACAATATACCAAACTCCGTCGGCAGTCAATCGTCAGCGTTTGGTGCCACAGCGCCAGCGCCAATAACTTCTTCTAGGCGCTCGTATCACCACCAGCAACAGCAGCCTTATACCAACAACAGCTATAATATTCCAGCGCGGCAACAACAGTCGCAAAACAGCAGTCGCTTGGGCCGTAATGCAATCGAATCTGGCGATCAATTTGCCGAGACATCGTCGACGAAACGCGCCTACCACACCAAACAACAACAAATTCAAAAGCAACAACAAAATAGCATGCAAGCTGTACAAAATTCGTGCGCCGAGGGTCTCACCCCACTGGCCAGTCAATACTTGTACGGCAGTAAAACTTCACTGGACCAAAAGCCACCACAACAGCAGCACATTATAAGCGTTAGTGATAACAGTATACTGGTTGAACGTCAGATGAGAGAACGTGATAGAGAGCAAAGAGAGAAACGGAAAGCTGCCGCAGCGTATGGTGAGTGGGAAAGAGAGAGAGAGCGTGAACGTGAACGCGAACGCGAGCTCGAGCGTAATTGGGAGCGGGAGCAGGAACGCGAATGGGAAATGGAACGCGAGCGTGAAAAGGAGCTGGACAGGGAGCGCGAGAAGGGAAGAGAAAGAGAAAAGGAACGTGAGTATAATTATGAGAGAGAAGACGGGCATTGCAGAGAACCGTACACTGGCGTATCGCAACAACATTATCAAGCGGTGAAACGACGCAATTCTGTTAAAAATACCAATGTCGTTAACACCAATGTGCATCGTGTGGCGAATAATGGTGAAGTGGTCGTATTCGATGGTATTACAGAGAGTTGGCAGAGTGAGTATATAAAACTATTAATAATCAGTAAACAGTTAGAATGCAGGAATGCTTTGCGACTGATTTTTTTTTCTGTTTGTCGGTCTCCTTCAAAATTAACCTGATAGATCACAAATCTTCCTATCAACGCCCACTGAAAGCTACTCAACCCTTTTACTTCAGTCTATGAGCAGACGTTCTCACCCAGATCCATTGGAAAATATGATGTGAAGCTAAAATTTCAAACCCTGGGCAATATCATCATTCGCCCATTCTTCTTCACCCAAGACTTGCTACCTCTTTAAACCTCCATAGCACTGTTTTTGTACGACAAAACAACTTTCCTCGATTCAATAACTTCTCCATAAAACTATCATAGACAGCCCGAGAGATAGCTCTGCCGATTAGAGCGTCAAGAATTTAGCCGGGTCAAGGCTTTCCTGTCCTAAAAGACGACTAAAATCCTATATTTCCCGCGACAGTCGGGTCTTTGTGTCGGAACGACCCGGACTTATAAACGGCAAAGAACTGTCACTCCCACAATATTCCCTGCAATAAATGAGGAAATAGCTGTTGCTGCAACAACTACAAAAGAACGGCCCGAGAGCTTAACACTCACCAATGCTTATAGCGTTAGCCGGCAGCACCTGTGGAAGGAAGAAAGAAACATTGGCGGGGATCTACAAAACAATTGGCCAGCCGCTTGTAATGCGGCACCGACCTGGGCACCGGAGACTAACGAGACGCTGTTGAAGAACTTATAAGGCTGACAAAAGACTGCCCTCAGGGCCGGTAATGTAGGTTAAACTCCTACTTATCCAGGCTCGTCCCCGACATACCCAACGTATGGCGTGCATGCAATGAGTACCCCCAAAACCGACTCTTCTAACCACACTCTTACTCGTTTCCTGGACCTCCTGTTAGATGACTTCGACCTAAGTGGGATTGAAGATCTAAAAATATAAGGAATGATTGTGATATATCGGAAGACTTATCTTCTCCCAAGCCAAATTATGGTTTTCTTGTCAAAGCTCTTTATGGCAACAAGATCTCTTCACCTCATAGAAAATATTGTAAGTTGGCGCGTCTTTGGTGCCTTACTCTTCGCTTTCATTTCGAGACACAGCTCAAGGTGGAGCTTTCCGTAGGGTGGGCCTAGATCTTTGTCCTCGCAGCGCTTTTGCTTATTTTTTTCTGGCATGGTTTTGTGTTGCTTTGAAGACCAAAAGTTACGTTGAGAGCAGTGTCGCTCTCACAAGGGATGTTCTGGCTAGGTGTGCCGAAATTCTCATCTTCACTCGTCAGCCTCTCCTTAAGTTTTCAGCTTCAAAGCACGCAAAGATTCGGGACCTATTGATGTTGCTGGCTTATCTTTGAGTCCTCATCCTCCATAACGCTCTCTCACGCTGTCGATTAAATAGTGTCTTTACTAATCTAAACGAAAGCTTACAAACAAGCTCAACCAGCTCAACACCCAATGGACTTCAGACTACTTCAAACAAAAACTTCTTGTCTTATCTTATCTTGCACTCTCCTCCTCTCCAAATTGAAGCCATCAACGTAGCAGTCTTATTTTCAACTTCATCTTAACCTTTTTCTTTCTACACACTCTTGCAGACTTGAGAGTAACAACCGACATAAGTGCCCCCACAATGCCACCTGCATCAAATCGGCAGCAACTGCAACAACAGCAACAACATCAGCAGCAGCAGCAGCAAGAGCAAATTCATAGACAAACCACATCTTTGACACTGGCGGATGACAAAGACGAATACGCAGAAGAGGAAGAGATAAACAATCAACAACAGGAACAGCAACTACAACAACACGGTTCAGTTGAAGTAACCGGAAGTCACAACACGAGCAACAATAATAGCACGTCAATAATGTACAAGGATCATCCAAAGAGATACTTGGATCGAAGTAGCTACACAATGCGAGCTGTCGAGACGCGACACGGCATCATAGGTACGTACTTGCGGTCTTACGCCAGCCAATGGCACTAAGACTAATATTTTTCCCTGCTTTGCCATGCAGAATATGAAGGCTCACCTCGTCGCATCGGCGTACAGGCAGCTACAGCTGGCATTATGCCGGCCGAGGTGGAGAATGACGAGGGTGCGCGTAGTGCCGAGGACACGGGCGATGATGCTGATGATGTGGAGCTGGCAAAGCAACAACAAATGACGATGCCTGACAGCAGCGCCAACACAAACACTAACAACGGCGCTGGCGCTGGTGGCAGCAGTCAACACACAACAACAGCAACAACAACAACTACGCACAATTCACCACAACATCAATATCCGGCGCGTCCCGGTTTCCCACAGGTAAGAACAAATGGCTTTTGGACACTTTTTTTCGTTTCACTAACCTTTGAACTCTATCTCTTCTATGCCCCCTCCCTTTGCAGCGTATAATATCGCCGCCACGGGAAAGTACACCGCCCATTATGCAGCTCAGTCATAATAGTTCCAAGCAACTGCAGCAACAACAACAAGATTATGTGGCAACACAACCACCGACGCTGCCACAGCGTCAATCATCGCCGCCTACAGCTTGCACTTTGGACAATAATGCCGAGGATACGAGCAACGATGTCTCTGAGATTGGCACAATATCCGATTTAACCACACCGGAGGCAATCTCCGCAACGGGTATACCGACAACGCCCACTTACACCTTTGAGTCGCCGGCGGTTAATGTGTCTGCGTCTAATAACACAACAATGCCGCCAGGTGGCGCGGGTGGTATTGCCGCGGCTGGCAGTAAACCAGTGACGACAACCGTGGCGACGTTTAGCAACAGTGGCTTCAGCATACCAACAAAGTCTTCGACGTTCGACTACCTCTATGAGTTCTCCGAGACTCGTAAAGTGCTTGAAGAGTTCTTCAAGTGTCCATCAGTGGACGATCGGCCGATTGAGAATGGCAGCGATGTGGATAGTATCGTAAGTTGGTAGAATGTAGGATGTAAAACTTATCCATACAAAGATCTGCGAAGGTGGATTAACTGTTAAGCCGAAGCAGACTCTGCGCAAATGCGAACGACTTGGACTTATTAGTTAATACTTCCGTTGCTCAGAACGGAATGTGTTTTTGAAGAGCTCAATTTTTTTGGAGGTCAGCTCATTTCATTCACAGGCCTATGATCCTGGTTTACGACAAATAATTTCTAATTGAGAGCACTAGAGGACTTTCACATAAGAGACTATCTCAAGAGCGGAGTGGAGAGCTTCTTCGGGTCGACACATCGGGGTATCCTCTTCGATTTGATATGAATCATATCTCTTTTATTATCATTGCATTGAGCTCTTGACCACTTTTACACGACCTGGACGAAGAAGAACGAAATAGAGATGCCTCCCACCACCTGCTCCAAAACCAAATCGTGGTCAAACCATTAAGAATGGAACGGCCGTTGGTCGGAGAGTCCAGCATAGTAGATATACAGAAAATAGTGCGAGTGCCGGTGCTCTGCGTACAAAGAGTGCCGCACGTTACTAACCGCCACGTGCTGCCTTAAATTATTTCCTACAGGAACCTCCACGCTTTGTAGTTCACGCTCATCGAAACTCTGACCAAAATGACTTCTCGATAGCCTGAACCTGAAAACTATAGACAGATAGTGAATCTCAACTGTTGCTTAGGTTCAAACTTTCCTAAACTCGGACAGAGTAAGATTGTAACAATTCTCTAAAATCCCCTTCCTTAATGGCTTAACTCCATCGAATAATTCCTCCAGGTAGCATGAGATTGCAGGTCCGTTCCGCATATGAAGTTGAGCCATCGCAGATGTCCTTTGATTCCACGCCCCAAAAACTGAGCCAATTACATTTATTTCTCTTTCCCCTTCCAGGACATTCAATATGAATTCCATTCAAATCTGGATCACGGCGATAACGACGACTTGGACTCGCCGGCGAATGTGAATATCGACGCGGATGAGGACGAAGACGATGACGAAGAGGAAGATGAGGAAGACGACGATGATGATGATGATGGACTGATGGGTGTGGATATGGATGGTTTACATACGCAGCAACATCATCATCAATTACAACAACAGCACAACAACCAAATGCGGCAACTGCGAACGACATTGCAACAACGCAACGGTCAACAGCGGGAGACACAAGTACAGTTGCAAGCATCGCCAACACCAACACCAACAATGCAATATCGGCAACAGCAACAACAACAACAACAGCAGCAGCAGCTGCAGCAAAAGCAACAAGCTCCACAATATAACCAACAGCAGCAGCGAAAAATACAGCAACAGCAGCAACAACAACAACAACAACGTAATCAGTCGCAGCATAGCAACAGCAATAACAGTAATAGCAATAATAGCAACAACTACAACAATGCAGCGAATGCACATCGTCGTCGATTTACCGCTAGTCCACTGATGCGTGACTTTGACTTCTTCCTGGATTCGGCGAGTCGCAGCAGCGGCGAGCAGTTGGATCAACAGGACGGTGTTAATCACAATCAGCTGGATGAACAGGGTACTTACCGTTATTCGCCCGAGACCACGGACTACGATTCGAATTGCGGAGATTTGGACAGTAAGTAGAGCAAAAGTGTTCGCCTTCTCCTTCCTCACTTTTTCAACAAGAAGATGTATACATCACACTGCGATGTTCAATATTTCATATGATGAGCTCCATCCCATGAGCTCACTTGGACAGCACAAAGAGTTGCTGAATCCCTCATACCACTCCCAGTGATTGGATTTTCGTAAAGCCATTGAGTATCCCTCTGGTTACGAACTCTTCATGCACAACTCTGTCTCTCTCGCTCGCTTTCTTGAGAGGCTGAGCTTTACAAATATTCATTTAATAATCACTTCCCTTCCTCGGCGTAGATTTAAACTCGCAATGCAGTAAATCTTCAATCCTTTCATTTCATTTAACAGGTCTCTCCGGCGAAATAAATGGCGTTTCGACATCCTGTTCCAATTATACAAAGTACTACGCCTCCAGTATGCCCGTACTCGAGGACGGTCTTTCGTCAGGACACACCTCCGATACGGAGAACCAAAATAATTTGAATAACAATTTACAACAGCCCAACGCCACGATACACCACAACCCCATCGGCAGTGGAGGCATATCAATGTTGATGGATATGAAACGTCTGTCCACCAACAACAGCATAAATAGTATGAATAATCTCACCATCTCGACAACCGATGGTGGTGGCGGTGGTGGTGGTGTTGGCGGTGAGCCGCGGAATAACTCAATCTCTTCAAATATTATGCACGATACCTCGTATTTGCACAGAGGCGAAAGTCCTACAGCGACGCTGGGTATGCACGACGATTCTGGACGGGACTCGGTGCGCTCCAGCACGAAACGTGAAGGTCGTGAACGTGAACGAGAGCTGCTCGGCCAGAGTCCCACAAGTAACAGTAATAATAAAGTATTCAAAAATATTGATCCGGAGCTGGATTCGCTTTATTCTATAAGTAAGTGACGACGTACTTAGCAATATTTTTTCCTAGCTCATTCTACTGTATTTCACAGGTATTTTCCATCGTCCCGACATGGTGCAAATGACACCACCGCCGCCTGCACCAGCACCACATCGCAAACCGAATATACTCAGTCCAGAGCCGGAGATCCTACAGCCCACACCTTACAAGGATAACAATTTACACAACGCGCACTCACTCGGCGCCACTTCGCCCACAAATGCACTTGGCTCCGCCGTAGGTTCCAATGCCGGCAGCGGTGTCACCTCGGTTGCCTCTGCTATCAGCTCTACACTTAACCGCAACAAATTACACAACACCCAGCATCAATCTAGCGGCAACGGCACAGGCAACACAACATCCGTGCTTAGCAATGCACTACGCGCCACAAATCAAACACAACTGCTGCCAACAACCCAAACACACGCCCAGCCGCAATCAACCACAGCAGCAGCAGCAGCAGCAGCAGCAGGAACAGCATCAGCACCAGCACCACCACCAATACCCGAACGCAGTCATATGCCGCGTACGCCTTCGCCTGTGATGAACTCGCCCGTTTGGCTGCCACGCCATTTGGATACGAGCGCCAGTAAAAGTCTGCTCGCCTCCTCGCCGGGACATCATTCGAAGAATATGAGCGCCGACGAGGACGATGTGGATACAGATCTCGAAACGGATCGTTTGCTTGGTCATCAGCGACTCGACGATCAAGGTTACTATGACGAGAACAAATCATGGGAGTCGTGTAAACCACGCTCCTCGCTACTCTCGAAAATCTCACCCAAACAAATGGCGAGCACAAAAACACGTAACGGCTACAATGCGCTACTCTCGACTACGCCCGAAATCCCACCGCCAATACCACCGAAGAATAGTACTAGCAAACTGCTCGACATAGACGGTTCGTTGTCCTCGTCAGAGCATAGCGACAAATCGCCCATCAAATCAATCGATGTACAGGATTGCGTAGTGGGCATGGGCAGTCCGGGTGGTTCGGATGGCTCGGCTTGCATTAGTGGTAATTCAAAGAAGGAACTAGACTTGTCGACGATCAATTCGAATGGTTTGCCCAACAGTGGTGGCAGCAATAGTGGCAGCGGTAGCGGTAGTGGTGGTGGTGGTGGTGTTGTGAGTGGCCTCATGAACACCGGCAATGCGAATGGCACTGCCGGTGTTTCCACCGGCGTCGGCTGCAGCAGCAGTGGCAATGGCAGCGGTATTGGTGTCGGTGGCAATACCGGTGGTGTTGTGGGAAGTGGTGGTGTCAATGGTGGTAGCGGCGGTGGCGGTGGCGGTGGCCACAGCAGCTCGGCTGGTTCGAATAGTACTAGCGGCGAGAAAAAAGTTAAAAAGAGTAAGAACAAAGAAGGTAAATGTATTGGGTTTATCTTCGCGCGCAAGTAGTGTCGTTATGCCAATTTTAGTCAACGTTGTTGTTGTTGTTCCTATTAGAATAGCATTGGTGTAAATGGGCGTGCATCGGTTAGCAGCAACAGCGGCGGCGTGCACAATTACAATAGTTTCATGCATACATACATACATACATACATACATACTTGTTTAGAAAAGTACAAAAATGACAAAAGTAGCTGAGCGACTGGCCGCCGCCGCTGACAAATACTACAAATGATTTCCCGTAGAGTTTTCAATCATTTTCCAAATTGCATTGATTTCGAAATTTATTGTTGTATTGTAGTATACATATACTCATACATTTATTTTCCAAATTTTCTCTTCTTTGTACTGTAGTTAGTACTTGGTTGCATTGTTGTTGTTGTTTCGAAAATCGTTTGTAGTATTCAAGGATTTGTAATTGTTTTAAGCTTACTTAAGGCTGCATTTCACCAGATTCATTTGAGTTTTTTTTTTTTTTTTTTTTTTGTAAAATATTATTTTAAAAATCATTCCGGGATTGGGGAACAAAAACAAATATTAAAAGTTGAAAATCGCTTTACTGTTTTTCAAAATATTCTCCATTAAGAAGATTAATATCTAAACATTGCTTGCTTTTGAACTGAATATCGAAGCACTTTGCCACTCAGATTGAGTTGTCCCCAAAAGCTTGCGTTCTGAATGCCTCATCGGGTGGCGAAAAGCGGACATTCTATACCAAGACATGACCGTACGTTGGATGACTACTCAAACGGTTGTTTTGAGTGCACAAAAATGCAGTTCTTTCAGTCGTTCTGCGAGAGCACGCATTGTCTTGGAAGACTGCTGACAAGCAAATTCTTCAATTCTTAGAGTATTTTTAGAGCTCCAAGTCCGACAAGTTTGCTTATTGCCGTAAGAAAGTGCAAGCTCTTGAGAGCATCGGATCTACGGCTACACTTTCGCTTGCAGTAGCGAACAACATGAATAGCTGGACGATTAAGTGCATCATAATCTCCTCTAAACTTTCCGTGGATGGAATCGACATTTTTGTAGTAGGTTTTAACGGTTTCAAAGCGTTGAGCAGTTACTAAGCCATTCAGTTTCATAAATGTCTGACTTTTAACTAAAACAAAACATGTTTGGTTTGACAGTTAAATGTGACAGTTGTCAAAATACAGATGATGCGAGGAACATATCAAGAGGTTCCCTACTTTTCCATTCAATTTTTAGATTCAATTAAGTGCGAATTAATTTTTGAATTTTTGATTTCACAATTTTATTTTATTTTTTATTTAACTAACTAAATATATTAATCCAACCACTCCTCACTTGAATGAAATAAAAATTCTAAATGAAATCAGCTGATCAACACAAAACAGCTGATTTTTGCTGCACAATGTTGCCGTATTTTAATGGCAAATGAAAAGCGTAGTCAAATTGAAAAAAACCTAAAAATTTAATAGAAAAAATAATGTTAATTTCATTTGTTTAAAAAAAAAATAATAATAATTTGGTGAAACACCGCCTTAACGGTAGTTTATATGTGTGTTGTCGTGTATGAGAAAAAACGCCCATTTGCATTTGTTATTTTTTAATTTGTACAACATCGATCGACGATCTTCTATTCTTTATTATTCTCAACTACATACATACAAATTTTTCTCTAGTGATATATTTTCAAACATTCTGCTAATCTGTGATAACTCTTTATTTTTGCATGCGTTCCGTTACGTTTCGTTTATGACGAAAAAAAAAAACAAAAACAAAAAATTATATAAAACTGCTTTCAAACCGCCGCATACTTTGTAAGATAATATTTCTAAATGTTTTTTAAAAATACATATTTATAAATTAGTGTATTCTTTAGTGTAGTGTCTGTGGTGTAGATTAGAGAGGTGGATGAGAGGAGAGAGAGAGAGAGAAAAAAAGTCTTGTATAAAAATATAAAAAATAATTAAAGTTTCATTTTTAATCTAGGTATGCAAAATAACCTCGAAAATATTCTCATTAAAAAATGATATTCGAATTTTGTATGTGTTTTCAAAATTCGAAAAGATTTTTTCCCAAACTATTTACTTTATTGACTTAGCACAAGGATTTTCGATTCGTTAAAAATATTCGATGATTTACTCTAAGTCTCTTGTTTATTTTCGAAATATTACGAATTAATTTTTAATTAAATTTAAATTTAAAATAATCAATAATTTCTCAGTTTATTAAATTTTACTAAGAAATCAATCCCTTTTTCCGTATCTAACTGCATTGTCGATCAATTATTTTAATTCGATAATTCGTCGTCTGTGACTGCATTATCGACTTCGGTAAACAGGATTTCGATATTATAAATTTTTCCATAATCCGCTTCAGAGTATTTGAGCCGTATTTTCGAAAAGAAAGGTACTAATTTTTGAGCTGAAAATCATTTCAGTCTGATTTTCCAACATTCGATATAATATTTTCCAATTTGGGTTCGATAAAATCTATATTTTTCTATATCTATTATGTTGTCAGTTTCATTTTTCATTTTCGAAAAAGGATTTATTTATTTTCGGTTGAAACTTAATTATTTCGAATTAAAAAAAAATCGATAATCCTTTTTCAACTAAAACTGCATTATCGACTTCCACGCTCAAAGTATCGATTTGTTAATTTTTTTGTTTTGATTTTCCTTTTTTGGTTGTTAAATTTAGTTATTTAAAAGATCGAAATCAGTAGCTTTAAAAATCGAAAAAAATCTCTAGGGATCGGAATCCAGATCTTTTTATTTGAAAATTTTTCATTTAACAATTAAATCAATTCAATTAATTTCCGATTGGAATTAAAATTAAATTTAAATATCAAAGTCTTAAACTTCGAAAGAAACAATTAAATAACGACAATCGAGAGAAGAGCTGGTAAGATGCGGAATGCCGGAGTGAATATACACCAAGAGAAGAAGAAAGCGAGACGCATTTGTAGGGGAAAAAGAGCGAGAGACGAGATCCCTGTGTACGAAGAACTTGAAAAGCTGGCCGGCAGGAGGAGAGCTCGAAAATTCTACGAGAAAATGCGGTGATCTACAGTATGCTTCAAGACTTCATATCATACTGATACACTTTCCCAGTGTTAAATAAAACTCTGAAGATGGCGCGAGCCTGAAGCTGCAATCAATGACACTGCTGTAGACGATCCATGACCCAATTATAACGAAGTTTGTATGGCGATCACCCGCTGATGTGCATGCCTGACGATTGACGACCTAAATGTGCTCTGCTCAATCAATAAGAGGGGAAGTGCTACAGCTTTTGTATAATAATTTAAGACTTCTTAATATCGCATATACTATCTGGCATATTTTGCGAAAGACTAAAGCCGAATTCCTTGGAATGAGGGCCTTAACAGTGTGGCTTTGTACCTGGTCGTTCTACCAAAGACATAGAATCGAATGTATCACCATGAAAAGACAAAACGAAATGTCTATGCAGTTGAGAAGTCTTGACGAACAAAGACTTGCAAGTCGCACATTATTGTCCTCCTGCCGTTTTGCGTCGAGTCGTGGATCTTGTCGACATTAGCAGAGTCGGCATTAGATTCACAAAGCAATGTACAACGATAAACACAATGACGAGCTTTCACGACAGTTGTTTATTGCGTTCGAAAGATATTATGGTATTCATTTATAGAGTAATAATTTTATCGATTATAGGCAAATTCATTTATCGATGTTTTATCGACTTTTAAAATTGGCTTTAACATTGAAGTGAAGCTTAATTTCATAATAAATAAAATTTCTTAGCTTAACATATTTCTTCCCCCCACCACTCATCTCGCTGCGGACACTTAGTAATTTGCTTACAATAGAAATTCCGTTACAACTATAAAATTTACAAAAATCAACACAAATATCTAAAATAAAACTATTTAATTTTTCCTCCACATTTAACCCAAACGACGAACGACGAAATACAAAATTGTATACTATTATTAAAAACAAATACACCCACACACTCATCCATACATTGCCAACGTAAATAGGTGGCGCAGTGCTTATCGAGGGCGTACTCTTTCGCGCCAAATATCTCGGTTCCACACAGCTGGTTTGTGAGGGTCAACCAACGAAATCGACGCGTATGATGCAAGCCGAGGAAGCGGTCTCACGCATTAAGGTAAGTAGTGAATATGATTTGCTTTCCACTTTCTACTTTTAAGTTGGAATAGTGTTCATTGGCTAAGAACCCGCAAATCATTTGTACATTAATCCTGCATGAATGTACCACTCCCCCTCAAAAAAAAGAGACATACATAATAAAACTAAAACAAAAAAGGGGTTTCCAAGAAGAGGTGTTATTTTGATATTCAAAGAAAAATGGTATTTTTTTTTAGTTAAAAGATCGGATGATTCTCTTAATGTAAATACCAAGAGATGCCATTAATAATGTTAAACAATATCAGACAATAGCAGGATATTCAATTTAACACCTCTTATTGCAAAACCCTTTACGAGTATACGTTCCCAACGCCACCTAGTGAGTAAATTTTTAACGTAATATTTCAGTTTTTTGTTCAAATTATTAAGAATATTAGACTGGGATTGAGAAGCTTAAAAACCACCATAATATAGTCATACTCAGGATATACACACATATTTCGACAATATTCTTTTACCACGGTCCATCTTGAATATGCCACCAGACAAAAGCGTTTTAAACAAAATTTATCAGATTCATAGAATATTTATATAGCTCATGCGCCTACACACACTCGCTAATTAAAATGAATACTTACAAATAAACACGTATTAAGAAATGTATTGTAACTCTTAACATTAAATATGCTTTGTATTTTCATGAACATTCTTCTACTCTGTGCTGGACCAACTAAAGGCACTGGTAAGTATACTCAACTCATTTCTCACACCATCACATGCTTGTAAAAAAAAAATAGTACAATATAAAAAAGTATTCTGCTCGCATTCCTTTGAATCCACGTTTGTTCTATGCTAGTAACTCGCCTTAACCACACTCTCTCTTCTTTTCAGGCCCCCGACGGCGATGTACAACCCAGCACCGAGGTAGATCTCTTCATATCAACCGAAAAGATAATGGTACTCAATACCGACCTCAAGGAGATTATGATGGATCATGCACTGCGCACAATTTCCTACATAGCAGATATTGGCGATCTGGTTGTCTTGATGGCACGACGCCGTTTCGTGCCACAAGATATTGATGATGCGCCCAAACCGAATCGTACACCAAAAATGATATGTCATGTATTCGAGAGTGATGAAGCGCAATTTATTGCACAATCCATTGGACAGGCATTTCAAGTGGCCTACATGGAGTTCCTTAAAGCGAACGGAATTGAGGATCATAGTTTTGTTAAGGAAATGGACTATCAAGAGGTACTTAATAGTCAAGAGATTTTCGGTGATGAGTTAGAGATTTTTGCCAAGAAGGAATTGCAAAAGGAAGTTGTCGTACCAAAAGCTAAGGGTGAAATATTGGGCGTTGTAATTGTCGAGAGCGGTTGGGGTTCAATGCTACCAACCGTAGTCATAGCGAATCTCATGTCATCTGGCGCCGCAGCGCGTTGTGGCCAATTAAATATTGGTGATCAATTGATTGCCATTAATGGTTTGAGTTTAGTTGGTTTGCCACTTTCCACATGTCAAACGTATATAAAAAATACGAAAAATCAGACTGTGGTGAAATTCACAGTAGTGCCATGTGCTCCTGTGGTCGAGGTGAAAATCAAGCGACCCAACACGAAATATCAACTAGGTTTCAGCGTGCAAAATGGTGTGGTAAGTGGCAAAAACTTTAAAATCTAAGAACTTATTTTATATTTCAATCATTATTTTAATTACAAAATTTTTAGATTTGCAGCTTACTGCGTGGCGGCATCGCTGAACGTGGCGGTGTACGCGTAGGACATCGCATAATTGAAATAAATAATCAAAGTGTGGTCGCGGTACCGCATGAGAAGATCGTCAATTTACTGGCGACGTCGGTAGGGGAGGTGAGTATGATTAAAAAAAACAGTAGTTTTTTTTCTTTTGTGTGTCATATTGTTTTAAAAAAATAGGAAGTTTCAAATTCGTTATTTCTTTGGCTAAGCGCCTGTGTTCCTATAATTATTCCACTTCTGATTTTATAAGTTTTTAGCAAATATTATTCTTACCTTCTTGAGTCTTCTAAAGTTTCCGAATTGTTTGGCCTTCATATCCTGTGCCAATCACTTCAATAAATGCCTCTTGAAAATATACAAAAAAAAACTCTCGTTTGGTTATATTTTAAATTTAAGTTACGAAAACTAAGCTTGAATATATCTGTAAACTCTTTATATTTTTATTAATTAATGTTATATTTATTTAATTTCCAGATTTTAATGAAAACAATGCCGACATCTATGTTCCGATTACTTACCGGCCAGGAGAATCCAATTTATATTTAAACCAAGCATTTTTTTTAATATTAATGAATGCATAATTCAAATGAAAGATTAAAAATTGACTAAAGAGCAAATGAATAAACTAAGCTTTTCAAACCAAAGCAAAATTTACACTTACATATATACATACATAAATATTTGTAAAGTCAGTTCTAGCGATTTAAATGAAACTTCACACCTGTAATTCCAAAAAGAAAAAATGCATATTAAAAAAGATAAAATTAGAAAAAAAATGAGAATAGTAATAACAATATAATATTGAATACAAATTAATTGTAAATTGTAGTTTGATAACTATGCTAAAAAATTAAATAAAAAAGTATATAGCAAATGGAATGAATGGAATTAAGCACATGTTCATTAGCGGCGTATATATAAAATACAAATATACATAAAAATTTCTTGCATAAACAAATTTAAGTAGCTAAAATGCATGAAATTGAGCAAAAATTGCAAATACAAAATTGAATTGAAACACTTTGAAAATGCATAAAGACACTAAGCATACGCCTATTTAAAGAGAAAAATAATAAGTTAAAAGTACACGTAACGGTAAAGCATAAGCATACTCAAAAAAAATTTAAAAAGATAGAGGAATAAGCAGAAATTAGAAATGAAAAAAAAATAATGTGTCTATGTATGTATTTAATCTGTTAGCTGCCTGACTAAATACCTAGCATTCCCTGTTCAAATACAACAAAACACGCAGATACACATAAAATATATTTATAAAATGAAATACACACACATACAAGTTTAAAAAATATAAAAAAAAAATTATCAAAACACCGCGTTTAACATGTATACAACAACTTAAAAACAATATATAGCAAAATTGATGAAAACAAAAATTAAATAAAAAGCCATTAAAAAAAAAAAAGAAAAAATAGTGAATAAAAATTAAACTACAATAACAAAGGGGATTAAAAAATTTAAATATTTTAGTTATATGAATTGTTAGCGTACTATACATAACATACATAAATAACATTGAGCGGTACATACAATATTATATAATATATGTATGTACGAGTATACATACAAACTTGCAAACATACCAACATAAATGAAAAGAGATTAGTATATATATGTATAGCTAAAATTTTCATATTATTATTATAATTGATGAAACCGCAAACCGTAAACCATAAATTTCAAATATAATATAAAACTAAAAAACAACAACAAACAAAAAAAAATCAATCGTGAACACGTTGACCTTTTGCAGAATTCGTCCTTACAGTGCTAGCATATTAGCTTAGTTGCAACAATTATACAAATATATAAAGTTATATACATACATACATATATGTAGTATGTATGTATATTTATTCATAAACATACTATATGTATATTAGTAAAGATGCATAGCTATAGACACTTGCATTGTATATACATACCTACATGCATCTACATATACGCATATTTTATAACTGAAAAAATATTTGAGGCAAACTTTAAACATGTACATACATATGTATGTATTTTGTTGAAAATTAAGAGGACTCACTCACCCCTATTTTCATATCACAAAACTGATATATCACTCTTTTTTATTATTATTTTTATTTATTATTTATTATTATTATTTTTATTTATTATTTATTATTATTTTTATTTATTAAATATATATAAATGTTTTTTTTTTTCATTTTTGAAGAGTTTATTGCTTAAAGCAGTTATACGATAGCCGAGTGGTTAGCATTGCTTACTGCCATTCGGTGGGCCAGAGTTCGAGTCCTGATACGACCAACATACAAAAATTATAGAAAATTAATTTAAATAAAAAATTGAGTTAAATTTTCCAATTGCGGTCGCCACTCGACAAGGAATGTCAATCCCTCCGAGTGCATTTATGATTACATATAAATATATTATATATCCTTATACAATCTGCTAGAGTAGTAGTTGTACTTAATTATTTCAGTAGTAGTAGTTTCTCAAGCCTTGCCTGCTATCTATCTGACCACTTCGCCGAACTTATCCAATTCTTGCGGTATTCTGATTCCCTTGTGAATCTCTAAAATCAGTCAGGGCTTTAGATACCTTTTGGCGCAGTCATCCGATTAGTCGGTGCTATTTACATATATTGTATATAAGCAACTACATACATATGTACATATGTTTGTATTTTCAAATACTAACGATCGATTATTTTACATATCTTGTAAACGCCAGGAAACTGCTCGATTTTCATGTTGCTCTTAGCAGTTGCTCAGTTTCAACAAGCGTAGTTCTCAACTAAACTTTGCATAGTTTTATACGTGGAAAATTATTTTAGCCACTACATGGCAACGAATCCGAGACGGGCATAGATCATTTTTCGCCTTCTACCAGCAGCGAGTCTGTTTTTTTTTCGATTTCATTCCATCCAGCCTCTACTACACAATTATTCTTTCAAAATTAGTTTAGGGAGAAGTTGGTATTGAAATTACCAAACAATTCATACTCTATATTAATGAAATTTCAATCACTTTTTAAATGCGCTTTAAACACGACTATCTCAGTGAATATTTACACCATGAAGTATACACATGTATGTATATACATACTTATATATATGAACGTACTTGTTTAAAATTTTATTATATTCTTTGTTAATATCTATTAGCGCGCCACCCTCAAGAAGATAAATAAATTCGTTTTGCTTTGATGGAAAATATTAAAACAGCTGTTAGGTGCAGGGTGCTCACATTTTGATCTTTCTCTCATTGAATTAAAAATTATAGCCTATTTTTTGGCGCAGTGCGTGTATAAAAAAAATTATGAAAAAAAATAAAAAAAAATATCGTTAACTTCAATTTGTGTAGTATAGATTTTCTGTGTAATTTTTGGTTTGTTTCTTTCAAAAACAAGCTAACATAAATAAATCGATGTACTCGTATATATATATAGCCGATAAAAATATGTATGTATATCGTATAGTTTTGATATGAATATGGTGTGTTGTTAAAAGGTGTTGTGTAGCGTATATGCGCTATATATGTATGTATGTATGTAGATTTTAAGCATATATTGTACATATATATGTGCGTACGTATATGAAAATCTTTGTACAATACATACACATAATTACATTAGGTATTTAAAATTATATAGGCAGCTTTTTATAAATTTTAATTGAAATTTCTACGGCAACAGTGACGTGTAGTCAGTTCGTGTTATTCAACAATAAACAAATTATACATACGAGTATATACAAAAATATGAAGAAATTATATGAAATTAAAAAAGAAAATTATTTTAATGCTTAAAGTTGACGAAGCAATACGAATTATAAGCAAAATCTCTAAGCTCGCATTTCCATTGCCCTTTTCATTTTCGCATTGCATAATAATTTTTTTTTGTATTTATGTTTTTTTTATATAAAATGGAAGTAATTTTTTTTGGATTTTTTTTTTTAATTACTTTAAAATTTATTTTTATTATAACTATTTTTTTATTGTATTTATTAGTAGCATGTTATTTATTTTAAATTTTAAAATACTAAAATAATAAATAATTGAATTACAATACAACACACAATCAAACAAACATTCATGCGTAGACCAACCGCCTTCGGTTAGCGTATCTTAGTGTACTTAGACGACAAGTTAGACAAATGAGTTTCCATGGTTTTTTGTGTCCTACATACACAGCTACATATACATACATATAAAATAAAAAAATGAAATTAATGTAGAACAATATATTCAAAGCGCTTCTGACGTCATTTGCTTCTTATATGTATACCTACATACATACATACCCTAAAATGTCTGCTTATTTATATGCACACTTATGTATATATTTAAGCTCAACATGTTTCATTGAAAAATGCATAAAAACGAATTTTTACAAAAAAAAATATTTTGAAATGAATTTGAAGTTCTTTAATATCTTTTTTTTTCAAGAAAATAATATAAGGCAAATTTTAATTAACATAATTAATTGCAATTATAAATTTAATTATGATTGTGCCTATCTATATCAACACAACTTTACCAGCAAACTTATTAAGGCGCCTAAATGTATGTTTAAAAAAAAACTACTTTACCGAATTTCCATAAAAAAACCGGGATAAAGTTAGAAGGACTTGAGAAAATAAAAATAATTATTAAAAAATGAAAAATAAACTAAATTTGGCATACACACGCTGGAATACAATGCGGCTTGCGCGATTTCACACACCACACAGCGAGCTCTACAACCACTATTTTAAGCAGGAAAATAAAACACACACACAGACACACACGCTCACACCAACTGTTAGGCAACTTTTAAATTGAAAAAAAAAGGAGCTATGAAAATTTGTTAAGTACTGAAGTTATAAATATGCGATATAAAAACAATAAATATAATTGTATATGCAATAAATACTATATACAATACATACATACATACATAAAACCTTGCATAAAAACATTATTGCATAACTGTACGTTTCATATTTGGAAAAAAGAAATACTCGTATTATCGTAATAATTATTAAAATGTTTATTTAGACTCTATTATAAAGAAAAGAAGAAAAGAAAAAAAAAAAACAAATAAAAAAATATAATTAATTTGCAAATTGATTATGAGCAGATTTCTCACAACTAAAGCTATAACACACATATATATATATATCTATATATGTATATATATATAAATAAATACATATATACTATATATGTATAAAGGAAAGCCGTTTGACAAATACACATACATGCATATACATGTCAACACTTACACACACACACACACATTCAAACACACAATTATGCATTAATACATAAAGAGACCAAAACGTATAACCACTTAAATATACAAGATTAATATTTAAAATATAAAACCAACATTTTCGTATGTGTTTCATTTCAACTTGTTGTTATTGTAACCAATAGCAATAAAGGACTCAATTTGAAAACATTAAAAAAGCAAGGGAAATAGCTTTGGCGAGAGCAAATAGGTTTCTATTCCAGCAGTTTCTAATAAATATTCTCATTCGAGATATTCCAGGAGGTACTTCAGGCAGACAGAAAGAAATAGACTAAGCAGAGTCCTCTCCAAGACCTCTACAATCCCGTAGTAAATGCGGAAAGCTAGCAGACTCTACACGAAATACTGAGTCTGTTATAAGTAATATATTTAGCCACAGTAGAGTGGAAGAGGGTAAAAGGTCTTTGCAGTCCTTTATATATGCAGAGCTAGATGGAATCTTTCCCGTCGCACTACAGGCAGCAATGTTTATCCTGTCACCCTTGAACTCTGCGGGTAATGGGACT